AAACAGTTCTAATGATCTGTGCACATGCTCCAGGTATAGGATTGCTCTAAACATATTCACTGTGGATTAAACTAATGCAACCTCCTTCAAAACCGGGTTGGCTAAGGATATAAAGTTATGAACCTCAACTGATGAATAGGAACTCTTACAGTAACCCAGTGCAACTCAGTCACATCTATAGTCTCAGGCTTTCCACTACAAAGCTATCATTTCAAATTTCAAACCCAAGTTGAAAGGCATTCCCAAGCAATAGGATGAGCTGGCCATGAAGCATTGCCCATTTGATCCTTATCTCTCGGGTGTGTGGTAAGGTGGATCAAAAAGTTCAATTGCTAATGCAGAACAAAACTTAAAGGGTTGGTGATTATGAAATTTCTACTGAAGTGACAGCTGTTCATATTTATAGCCTATCACAGAATCACAGAATGGCCTGGGTTGGAAGGGACCTCAAGGATCATGAATCTCCAACCCCCTCCCATCACAGGCAGGGCCACCAAAACCTACATGAATGAAAAGAGGGCTTAGGTCTGGTTCTCCACAAGCAAACATCCTCATTGTTCAAATCAGGCCTCTATCTCTTTTTGTGCCCACCTAAGAAGTAAGGACCAGGAAAATGGTAGCCATGGAGGAAAGAGGGTCTTCACTATGGCTCTACTCCATTGGGTCAGAGCTCCGGAGCAGCGCAGCAGACAAGGATTTCCAAAGATTGTGCCATACCTTCTATGCTGGCACAACAGCTCTTCTGTGACATTTTGAACTTGATGAATATCACTAGGGAAAAAAAAACGGGGGGGGGGGGGGGCGGGGAAACAAAGAAGAAAAAAAGAAAGCAAGGTGCAGGGAAAGATTCTGCAGTCAGATCGAGAGTGACAAACACTAATTCTCAGCTGAAGTATACACCTGAAAAATTCACCCCAAACTCTTCCTAAAAGGGGAAATTTCAGGTCTTGCAGGGTATGACTCCCTAAGGCCTGACAAAGCCACTTATAACCTCACCAAAGTTCAGTGTGACCATGAGTGTTTACAAGTATAAAGACTAGGCCAAATCAAGAATGTAAATATTTGGATTCAGTTCCCCAAACTTGCCTCCATCTGCACTGCCAACTAAATCTCAACTGCAGACCAAAAAATCTGAAAAGCAGCAGTTGTTCATAGAGAGCAAAATGACACACATGGCATTCAACATTAAAGGAGGGGAAACAAACAAGCAAACAACTTGCAATCTGAATTGAACCCGTGTTAAACAAGAAATCGGTGAAGTCTGCACTGAAACCTGATTTGACTCAGCTATCATTTGGCACATTTTGAAAGTTGAACAGTGCAGATCTTGGTCCACTACCCTACCCTGGAAGAGACCACTTAACCCTGTCTAGGTTGCTCAAAACACACTATACATGACACAAAGGGTCTAGAACACATAGAAACTTTGACATAAACCACACTCTCTTAAACCATGAAAAGCACGTGCTTCTGTTTTCCGGGCAGAGGAGCTCATCCAAAGTAATTTGTGTGGCAACCACAGTCCTATACTCAGAATTGACTGAGGATCCCAAATTGACTCGAGTTCTCAAGCATCCGTACTTTTTGTAACCCCAGCTCATTTAGCTGTAGGTGAAGATGGTAGCCAGGAATGCATTCAAGAGAGTTGTGACACATCCTGAGGGTTAATACACAGTACTCTCAGCTGCCAGTTCCCAGACCTCCTCTGAAAGCCTTTCAGTCCCACACCTCCACCACAGACATCGGTTGAAAGAAGCAGAAAGCTAAGCATTTCCCCAAGACCAAGGAATCTTTTTATATGTGTACAAAGTAAGAATCCAAGCCTCCTCACTCCCACTACTGTAAACTAACAAGAAGTCCATCCTCCCTGTTTATCTAAGTGGGAAAAGCACAAATCTGGTTCTTCAGCTCTACTGAGCTGTGGGAAACTTGGTTTTGCTCACCAGCTGAAAGCAGGCTCTTCAGCACACTTAGCAGTGACCTCTTCACAAGGGGCAAGTACCATTCCTTTAAATGCCCCTACACTAAAAATAGTTGTGCTTCCTAAACATGAATGTTTAACAGTTCCAGGCATTCTGAAATCCTGCATACCACTTCTTTTTTTTCTTTTTTATTTTTCTTTTAAACTGGCAACATTTATTTAACCAGCAATTAAAAAAAGGAGGCCCAGCTGCCCCAGTGATTCTTCCCAGAGGGTCTTAGATGTTTATGAAACACAATGAAAACAATAAACTGGATAAAATCGTGCTATTCCATCAAGTCCTTGGCAAGACTTCCCAACAGAGAATAAACTGGCATGGTACATTACAGTCAACAGATTACACAATGGTTTGCAGGGTCACAAATAATGAAGGGTCACATGCTCCTCTAAAGTGCTACAGTATATGTTAAAAGTCAGTTGATTACAGGGAAATCATGAGAGTCAGTTCTGAGCTCCTTGGAGCAAGTCCTGGAAGCGACAGCACAAAAATGCAGGCTAAGAAAGGTCAGGAGGTACTTCTTCACAGCACTAGGAAACACAGTGACTATGCTGAGCAAGCTGGCTTTGGAAGTTTAACATTCTAAACCAAACCAGGCAGGATTCCCACATTTCTGCATACAAGAAACAAATGTGGAAGGTTGACAGCGTCTGGTCCCTAGCGAAGCCCAGCACCACTCACCCCACCACACACACCCAAGGAGCTCTGCTCACACTCCTCTGTTCTCCAAGAGGAACCAGTCCCATCTCAAAAGGAGAATTGCAGCTCCCACCAGTCCACTCACTCTTAAGAGTACACAGGCTGCAAGCAGTTTCAAAAGAAGCTTTTGAAATTATACTCTTGGGTAATTTGCTAAAAGTAATCGTAATTGCTTCAATGTATTGCTTTTCCTTTAAATAACCGGTGTTAAAGCAAGAAGGAAATTAATGGCCAAAGGTACGAATCTTATCTTCATCCTTCAGACTGGCAAGAGATTTGCATTATGCCACCTGTACAAACTGATCATGAACATGAATGTTGTATTTTGACATTCCTGAAACATACATGATTTTCTCAAATCTGGTCTTAAACATAAGACGCTTCTACTCCATTATGCTTTCACTATATGGATTTTTTCATCTACTGAGTATAAATCATGAATAAACAAAACATCGCTGATTCTTGAAGGCAAGTCAGTCTCACTTCAGTTCACCCTGCTCTGACTCTGCATTACCAGCAATGAGACTACAGCTAACACTTTTGTTCTTTGTTTGCCACAAGTTTTGATCATTCTAGGTGGCCCTTACTGGAACACTCTTTATCTGGCTGAAGTTAAAGACTGGTTACACGCAATGAACTGAAAGAAAATCTATTACCCAAAGTCAGCACAACGCTAAAACAAGGGGGATAACAAACATTGCTATGGACCTATTCCATGCTATTACAGAATGCATCCGGCTTCATTTGGCTCACTGTTATGACTGAAAATACACTGGAGCGATAAAAATGAAGTAAACATAAGAGGCTCTCTCATATGCAGCCACTACTCTTTGATTGCAGTGACCCCTTGCTCTTCGGTAAAGCAAATGTTTGGTAGCAAGCCAAGAGCACTACATCTCATTTTCCCACCAAGTGAACTGCTGAAGCAGCTCCCTTAGCTCTTCAGCTGCATCTGCCTTGGGATCCTAAAGTCTTCCGATGGAGTCCAGGTGGCTCTGACTCTTTTCAACGAGCGTGCAAACATTACAGCCAGCCGGACGGCCGACGCGAGCCGGCACCAGGGGAGAAGCATCGGGCTCCCCTTCTCTACTCACTCCCGAGCCCCAGACCCGGAGAGCTGCTTCGCCGGCCCTCTGCGTCAGCTCGATCCCACCGCCGTGAGAGGACCCGGCCCCGGGACACGACGGTGCCGAGCTCAGGCTGCTCCCGGAGCCCCCGCCGGTCCGCCGCGTATCCCGGCCCGCCCCGCAACGGGAGGCGGGCGGCCGTCGGCGCGCCGAGCCCGGCGCCGGGCGGCGGCTTCTCCCCCCGCCCCGCTCCCCTGCCCGCGGCTCCCTGGGACCCGTCCGAGCCGGCGGCGCGGCTCCCGGCTCTTACCGAGGCGCGCAGGGGAAAGCTCCCGACGCCCGCAATCCTCGCTCCGCAGCACGGACTGTTGTAGCTTTTTTGGAGGAGCCGAGAAGAGGGAAAGAAGGGGAGGGGGCAGGGAGGAAGGGAAGGAGGAGGGAAGGGATTGAGATCGAGGGAGAGAGAAGTATGCGAAGGCAGGAAGTGGGGACGGCCACGGCCAGTGCGGGAGATTAATGGGAAGCAGCCGGCCGGCCGCCAACAAAGAGCCCCGGCGCGGGGCTGCGGCAGCGAGCCGCGTCCAAAGCGGGCGGGAGGCAGCGGAGCGAAGCGGCGCTGAGGGGAGGCACGGCGGGCAGCGGGAGGAGGGGAGAGCCGGGAGCCCGCGGGACGGCCTCGCCTGAGGAGAGCGCCGGTTTTGTCTTTCAGACACTGACAGCGCTCGTCCGGGAAGGACGGGAGAAAGAAAACTCCTGCCGGGCCCGGCAGCCCACGTGCTTCCAACGCGCGCCCTGCACGGCGGGCTGCACGCACGCAGAGATGAATGTGCACAGTGTCCGGGAGCAGCGCTTCAGCGCTAAGCACGTGCTCACTGTCCCCTTGGGCTGATCAGCCTTCCCGCACCCCGAGCCGCCGCACACAACGAAGGTAACTCGGCTGACCCGCCGCCCCCACCACAACGAGGAAACCTGATGCGAGCGCCCCGCGTTTCGCAAGCCGCCATTCTATTTCAAGAGACTGAGCACGTGGGGAGCTCATCCGGCTCCTCGTGCGAAGGCGCGGTTCCGAGCACGATCTGCCCACACCGCCCGCCCGCCGGCTGCGGACGCGTTTATCTCAGCCGGGAGCTGCGTTTGAACCTCCCGCTCCGGCCTCTCCGCGTAGCGGGGCGCCGCGCCCCCTCGCGGCGTTAGGGCGGAACGATGGACTGCGGCGCGTGCGCATACTGTGACGGCGCGCGGCGGCGGCGGCGGGATGGACGGGGCGCGCGCGGGGCGTACGGCGGGGTTGGCGCGCGCCGTGCTGGAGCGGGCGCGGCGGCGGCGGCGGGAGCGGGAGCGCGCGGCCTCGGCCCCGGTCAGTGCTGCGGGTGGGGCGGGGCGGGGAGCGCAGCCACCTCAGTCACCGCGTTCTGTCGCGCGGCCGCACCGCGCTTCGTTAAGCGTGCGCTTAATGGCAGGAGGAAGACTCGGAGCGGCTCAGCGCTGCGTTCGCTTCCGTCATGAGTTTCATGGCCCAAGCCACGCGGGAATGCGAGGTAAAAGCCCTGCGGCTCAGCCGGCGGCACCGCGGTAACACCGAAGGCGAGCGAGACGGCGTTGGTATTGAGGAGCCGTTGCGCCCTCCGATCAGAGCGGTGCGGGGCGCTCCGTGTGCCGGCAGGTGGCAGCACCGCGCGGCAGGGCGGCAGCGGGAACCTGATTGTGATGCCTCTTATGTAACACTTTCTGTTCCCACCGTTGTCCAGAAGTACTACAGCCTCGTGCCGGCCTGCAGGTGCGGAGAGCACGAAGTGAGACACATCTGCAGGTACCACGGCCGGCAAGCGGGAGAGGAAGAGCTGCAGTCCGCCGAAGACAAGGTGAGGAGGGTTTGGTGTCCTTGGGAAGGTTGTTCCTTCCATCAGCGTGGGACAGCTGCGGTGTCTGTGGAACCGCTTTGCCACGCATTTGTGTGTTTGACAGCAGAGGCAGGTGAAGACTTGGACTGGTCTGAGCCTTTGGTTGGGCAGAGCCACTGCTGACCGCAACAGCCACAGCATGGTTTCAGTCCTGTTGCAGAGGGGAAACTGAAATGGACTCAGAGCATCCCCTCTCTGATGGCCTGAATTTACCTTTGTGTGGTTATAATCAGAAAACTATCCTTTTCTTTCCAGAAAAGTGCAGCTTCTGCAGCGTCCAGTCAAGCTAGAACTTGCCAGCAACGTGTAAGTCTACAGCATAATTTTTCAAATGTACAACATTTCTTTATCAGTTTACAATCAGATGTGGAGATCTTGTGACAGCACAGATCAATGGTGTGTTCACCATCCCACAGTATAGATGGTCAGTAGAACAGGCAGAGACTGACACAATTAATTATAGAATCATAGAATCACCAAGATTGGAAAAGACCTCCAAGATCGTCCAGTCCAACCATCCACCTACTACCAATATTTCCCCACTGAACCATGTCCCTCAGAACAACATCTGAACATCTCTTGAGCATCTCCAGGGATGGTGACTCCACCACCTCCCTGGGCAGCACATTCCAGTGCCTGACCACTCTTTCTGAGAAGAAATTTGTAAACCAGACCCTGGTCATCCAGTGCAGAACTAGTCGAGAGTCTCCCATATTTCAGGCTGATACAGACTGTCAAAACATTGTGAATGATCCGTGGACTGCTGTGATTTGCACCAGCAGCAATAATCCATCAGTCTTCTGCTCTTGCCTCATTTGTGCTCCTGCCACATTCCCTTTGCTGAATAAAGCACACAGCAGCTGCTCGGCCAGTTATGCTTGGCCCTGACACAGTCTTCTCTGAAGACTGCTGTTCCTCCAGGAAAAGAAAACTTAATTGTTTTTTAAAGCCAAACACCTCACCAAATCAATTTCAGGAATTTCTAAGCCACAAAAGATGAGAACCACGGAAACTGTGCCACAGTATGAATTGGTGAGATTCACTTGATGTATGGATGACTTCCTTTGTTATGTTCAAAACAGTTTAAGGTGGCAGCTTTCAGTTTTGCAAGTAGAGATTACAGCCTGTTAATTATTTCCATGGATTAAATCATTAAATACTTTGAACGTGACACTTGTGAATATAAACACTTCACAGTTCTGTCTCTATATTGCCCATATATTCTGAACAAAATACACAACATTTAGATAGCAGTTTAAATGACTTTTTTTAAAATTCAAATTCCAACTTTATATTTTTGTGGGAAATTTAACATGACTAAATAGTAAAGAAATCTATTTATTCCCCCTTCTCCGTCCCCTAAAGACCAAGAAAGCTTCCAAAGACATCTACATTGAAGTCTCTCCTGGCATTTATTCTATCACAGCAACCTCAGAGGACATGGTGAAACAAACCCACATGGTGGATGTCAGTGCTGGACAAAGCATTGATTTGACTTTTGTGCTATGACATTTATCATTTGCTGGCAATCATGGGAATAAAGTACTAGGATTTTTTAAAGCATATAATGAATTATGTGTAACTATTTCTTATTAGCATTTTAATACAATCTTCTTCTTTGGGAGTCCATTTTTATGGCCTGTATATTTATTTGCTAACTTAGTGCAATTGTGTGCAACCCACTTTGTACACTGATTTTATAAATATTTGTACATTGTGTCTCTTAATTCAAATCATGCGACTATGTAATTCCAGGTTCTTAAGCTTGAAACAATTAAAGATACAATCAGTGGAATAAATACATAGTTTGGTCTTTGTGATGCCTGCTTCTTTTGTTATTACAAACAACTTAGGCAGAAACTTTCTTAGGCAGAAAGTCCATGTCATGTTCTTACCCACAGAGAACGAGATCCCAGTGGTGTGAATGCAGACACATACACCATCTCTGGCACTAGTTCTAGAGCAGCTGACCATCCGTCTCAAGTATATTTCCCTTATCCACATTTTTATAATTCTGATAAAGAAACAATTCCATTTGGGGTGCATTTTTTAATGGTCAGCATGGATGATCTTTCCCACTCTACTCTGCCCTGGTGAGGCCACAGCTGGGCTCCCCAGTTCAAGAAAGACAGGGATCTCCTAGAGAGAGTCCAGCGCAGGGCCACAAAGATGGTGAGGGGCCTGGAGCATCTCCTGTATGAGGAAAGGCTGAGAGACCTGGGGCTGCTCAGCCTGGAGGGGAGAAGACTGAAAGAGGATCTTATAAGCATCTGCAGCTTATAGAGGGTGGGACCTGGCTCCCTTCACTGGTGCCCAGCAATGGGCACAAACTGGCACACAGAAGTTCCATCTCAACATGAGGAAAAACTGCTTTACCGTGAGGGTGACAGAGCACTGGAACAGGCTGCCCAGAGGTTGTGAAATCTCCTTCTATGGAGATACTCTAAACTACTGACAAACTTCAAATCCTGTCTCTGCAGGCTCTAAACTAGGCTTAGAATCACCTAGCTACCTTTTTCAGTAGAACACAGTTAATATTAGTGACATGCTCTGTATAGTCTGCAATCCTGTTGTAGCTGATGGCATTAAGGTTTCAGTTAATGTTGAGGAGAATATAAAATTCAATGGCTTGAACACTGCACACAGAACTGCGTTAAGCTATATATTCCTTATTCTCTGGTTTGCTTTAATACTGAAAAAAATAATAATAATAAAAGTTGGGGTTGTCAGGTTGTATAATTTCTCTGTTTCTTCTGGTTTCCCACAGATAAATTGGTGAGCTGAATTCCTCTGGCTAGCACCAGGGGACAGTAGATAAATTGGAGGTTTATTAGATCCTTGCTTTGCATCTGCTCAGGCTTTCAGCACTAATACTAGTTTATCTGATCTCTTCAGAAATGTAAAGAACTCACACCCAAATAATTCAATTTAACAGCAGACTAACCATAGAGTAATGCTGAAATGTTAGCAGGTTGGAAATCATGTCTGTCATTAAAACGGTACAGTTATCCATAAAGCTCTCCTATGAAGTGCCTACATCAGAACTTTATTTGCTTAATAAATGTAACATTGCTAATAATACAAGCAGTTTACCTGAAATTTCAGCTCTTGAACTTCATCAGCTGTAGAGTTCCTGAATTCTGATGGATCACACCTCTTTAGCATGAGCTCTGCTGTTCTTTCCCTCTCTGTTCTCCGCTGTTACGGTCTGTACTGCCAAGTTTGTCCTCTCCTAAGCAAGTTGTTTTATGTTTATTGTCCAACTCTGTTTTCTTTCTTGTATGTCTATATCTTTGTTTTCATGATGCTACAGAACCTTCCTCCTGGAAGACAGGATAAAAATCCATTGGCAGTCCATGAATGCTCTATGTTACCACATGTATCCACTGCTACGATTCCTGCTGCTGGTTTTGAGCTAGAATGAGGCTCCTCTGGTTTCTTTCTAGTTTTACCAAAAGGCAAAGCACGTCAGCAGTGTATGGATATGACACTTGGCTAACACAGAGCACACCTGTCTAGAGTTGCATATTGGCATAAAAATTTTGTATAAGCTGTCTTTTCTTGGGTTTTATTTACACTGAAGGCCAGAGATGACCATTTTCAGAGGCACTCATTCAGGTCCCTATTTCTGCAGGACTTAATTGGGTCAATGTCAGTGGACAAGTGGCTAGTTTCTGAGTGTAGAGTCTCTACTGATTGCTCACACTGTTTACTGGCATAACCTTTTCCATTCCAACAAGGAGCTTCAGGTCCTCCTCACTTTTATTTTAGTTAATAATTTTTTTTTAAATTAATGGAAAAGTCCCCTCCATATCATAAAATTGGTGGAAGGCCATAGCAGGCAATTACTATAGAAATGCCAATTTCTGAACTAATAACATGAATACTTGTTCCATTCAAACAGACCGGATTATGTCAGTAAATACAGTATTAATACAAATTACCCCTGATAGCTTGAAATCCTGGTATTTCACTATTTCATTCATTGTGAATTGCCTTCTGGGAGGCTGCTCAGTAGTTTCCAACACTGCACTCTGCTCAGGTGGTGCAACATGGGACATGCCTACAACAGAGATGGCTTTGGATTCTAACTTGCCCTTTGCACATATGCTGCTGTGTCTGCCAGTTCCTTGGGGGAAAAAATTGTATCTTAGCCTTAAGCATAGGGAAATCAGAATTGAAACAGATGCGTTCACTTAAGAGAGAAAAATGTACTTTAAACACTCTAAGGAATTCTTTTGGGTGATTGATTCTGCATAGACTAGCTATGAAGATTAATAAAGATGCTGGCATCATTAAATGCATAGAAAATGATGAGTAAGAAACTCAGCAAGGGGCACCTGCCTCCACATGAGATTCTAATAGTTTTCCACTGGATGAGTTGCCAGAAGAAGAGTTAGCATGCAAGACGAGGGGGCAGAAATGCTGGGGAGGAGGAAATAAAGCATTGGCAGCTGACAGGCAAATGTATGGTATTTATATCAACTACAGGTTAAGTGAGAGCCCATATGAAGGGGGGCACAGAACATGCTGGCTATTTCCCTCTGGCTGCTCCTTCCTTTTTAGGGTGTTTCAAGGTACCTGAATTACTGGCATGAGACTTGTAGTGGTTCCTTTTCCAGTATTTCCACGTGGGTCCTGCAGATTCCTCCAGCCTGGGCTTCTCAGGATGACTGGGGTCTGTTATAACAGTACCATCCACTACAGCACTCTGAGTGGGGAACACCTCTAGATCACCTACTGAGTCAGAAGGGGAACGTGCTGCCAAAACTGCTAACTCCTGTTGTTTTGGACCTTCCACTTCTAGAAGGTGTGGAGAGGATTTGCTGCTGGGCTCTGCCTCTTCAGCTTCTCTCTGAAAGACCTGAGACTTGGGTGGAAGAGGCCACCAAACATCAAAGTGGCCATGGCAGCAGCAGAAGCAGTGGACACAGGCTGATGAACAGCACGTACCACCACAACAACAGTGGAGAAGTGGCCAGCAGGGTGAGCAGAGCAAGCTGTGCTTAGCGTTGCTACATGCAACGCAAACAGGAACCCAGGTGGTTTTACGGCTGCAGGAAAAAATGCCCAAGTTAGTGTCAAAACTTTCTCTGCTCTTTAACCTGCTGGAGAAAGGCATGTGGATCATCTCCACAATCCTCCCACAAAGGCTAGAAGGGATCCACAGTGCTACACCTCGTGGCAGGTTCACTTTCTTGTCATTCCAGAACTGAACCATAATTTCTTCATCTTCTGAGGCTGTTGGGAGAAAAGGCATGCAGCTGTGAGTAGCCGTTCTGCCTAGGGAGCACATACAGCTCAGGCTCTGCAGCTTGGGACACACTTTCTAGTCCTGCCAGATGCAGCGTCAATGATCACCTCTCACTGTGACACCTGGCAGCATCTTTCTTCCCAGTTTTTCATCAGGTGAACAAGTCAATGTTGGCTGAGTTTTGTTGTTCCTGCCAAAGCTAGCAGTAACACTCTGGGAGCACGCTACCCATATTTGAGCAGTCAGCAGAGCCTGTCAGACACAGGAAAATGAATGAGCTGCTCAAATACCATGCTTGGGTGATAAGGTCACCCCCAGGATGCATCCTTCAGTAAAAGCATGAGCACTCTAGCACAGACGGATGCTTCCTGAGAGCTGCCACATTTGGATCTATCAGGAAAAGGCCATTGTCCTTCATGCAACAGACACAGCCCCACCTGAGCATACAGGAAATTGCAGATCCGTGGATATGGAAGGTGACGTTTTTGTGGGTCACAGCTTCCTTAGGGTCAGACAGGCAAGGTTACAACCTGATATCCATCTAAGGTCATATCATCCACATCAGCTCCTGGAAGCCTTTAGTAATGCTACAGTGAGTTCACTGACAGCTCTCTGGCAATAGCACAACAGAGTTCATCCCAAGAGTCTCACTTGTGTTCCCAAGCAAGGCAAGCAAGACAAGGGCAGCATCCTTCTTACCTCGTAAGGAGTCCCTCGTCTCAATGCCCGTGAGGACTGTTCCAGGGCCATACCTCACCAAATCTGGTTCCCAAGGTGCCAATACTTTGTCTCCCGGCAGCAAGGAATGCTTCATGCCATTGGCATACTCCAGGATGTCATCCTTTGCTGTTTTTTGCACACGTACCGAATGCCTTCCATGCAACTGAAGTGGTCTGGTAAACTCTACCAGGAACATTCCCCTTTCATTCTGTTACCAAGAGAAAAACAGTACCTCTGAAAAACACATAGTTATGCATCAAGTCACATAATCACTAGGTACAGTCCCACTGGATTTTACAAGGCACACTGCATGCACCAGGCACACCAAAGCTGTTCTTTAGGCATGCCCAAGTCCTTCCTCATTATACAACATGAACTCACTGCTGGGGAGCTGCTGGAATTTTTTATTTTCTTGTAAGCTAAGGCCTGTCAAGAGGCTTTCAATCAACACTGAAACAAGACACTTCCCTGTTCTTGAGAAAGAATAGACTCTTTTTCCCCCTTAAGTTTGAAGTGCTAACAAACTGACGAATTAAAGCTTTCACTAACATTTCTGAAGACACTGTGCCATTGGTCTGCAGCTGACTCATGCTGGCAGTGTGTACATAACACACCACCAAACACTTTTCCTGTGCTGGTGGCTATGTGTCTATACACAACAGTGGCCAGCACACTGTTCACAACAGCTCTGATGCCATCCAGGCCTGGCACGATGCCGAGCACCAGCAGAGATGAGGCCCTGCTGTGCACACAGAACTCAGGCAGTGCACAAGGACTGCTGCAGACTGCATCCACCACATTCAGTCTTTGCCACAGGCAGAGGGGTGTCCTCCAGCCACGCTGACTTCACCCACCTCACCTGAGTTCAGTGGATGGCCCACCTGCAGGTGAACAGATCTGACTGACAGCGTACACCCGCATGACTACAGCACAGACACTGTTGCTCACCTCCACCTCCTCTTTTACTGTACCACGGTAATAAAATCCATCATGCTCCCCTCTCACCAGAACAGGGACATTTTTGGCTAAGATGGCTGATCTCTGTGACATGCTCAGCCTCTGCCATGCTGGGCCAAGGGAGGGGAAGCAGCGCCCAATCCACTGGCACCTTGAATAACAGAAAATTGGTCAGTGGTGAGAGAAATCAGCTTCTGTAGGTCAGGCAAACGTATATATGTATCCTCTAAGATGTAAGAACAAGGTTACTGCACCTCATTTTGTAGAACTCCCACTTTTTACCCAGTTCTCTTTGGTTTGGGATTAAGAGGAAGAAAGCTAAGAATATGCTGGAGACCTTGGCCAGGATCACTTGCATTAACACCTTTTCTGACTACATGGCAAGTTAACACAACCCTTAAGATCAGGCAAGAGAAAAAGATGCTCCAGCATAAAGCACAGCTTAGAGGTACTCAAGCACTGTAGCTGACAGTATAAGCTCAAAACAGGGAAATAATTCCCTGTCACATAGAATTAGAACCATTTCACAGATCACTGCTCATGCAAAATGCTTTTATTTATCCAAGTAACATTAAGGACTTCTTTTTTTGATAGCAAGTTTACCCCAGGCTTTGCTTTCCATAATCTCCAGGGTAGCAAATCATTTTAGTTAATGCAATCCAACAACTGCCAGCACGAGGGTGAGGAAAGCACAAATGATATTCAAGCTGCTAATGTATTAACCTGACACATCCCAGACTTTTTTATCCTATTAGGTATCATGCGAAGGAACAAATAACAGATCCGACAAGAACTTAACTTTACCGCAGGGGAGCACAGGTCTTGGTGTTCCAGGCAGGATGCATGGCAAAGGAGCTCCTGCAGCAGGGGTGGATAGCAGGGATGGCACTGGAGCACAGGAACTTGTCCAGAGCTGGCATCATGCTGCAGCACCTGTGGTCCATGGGCAGGAATCTTTCCAAATGAGCCATTCTTGCAAAGGCAGCTTCCTGCAAGACTAAAACACGAGCTGTCAGTAGTTGAAAAGAGACAATATGCTGGCATTTTTCAAGCCAAGCAAATGTTTTCCAGATTACCCTCAAGATCTCAGTAACTTTTAGTAATTGCTCTCATGAAATAAAGACTGAATTCAAAGTATCCAGTCTGGTGTTTTGTCATGTGAACCCATATCACTGACTTCAGTGACTTCCAGTCATTCAAATTTGTGGTTGGCAACCCTAGCCACAGCAAATGAGTTGGAAATGGATGATCTTTGAGGTCCCTTCCAATCCAAACCAGTCTGTGAGTCTATAAATCTATATCTAGTAAAGGGACATAAACATCCAGGGAAACACTCTTGCTGTGGAAATCCTAAGGAAAGCAATGTTCTTAACTAGATGCAGCTTTTGTTCCCCTTTGTAACACGCAGCTCTTCTCTCACACCTACAATCTCCTTTAGTTTCCTTATACACAGAGCCAGCTCAACCCTCCCCGCTCTACAAGCTAAAACAGAAACTGCAGCTGAAGTTCATAGTTGAGCAGACAGCTTCCGACTGTAGTGCTAGAACAGAATTGCCTATGATATATTAAGAGGAAATATTTTGATCTCCCACTGCCTTGTCATGTTTTGCAACAGTAGGACTATGGCTTGCCACCAGAAGAATGAGATGCTAAGATTTGATGAGGAGTAACTACTCAGAGGTTGTCACATTAGGATTCATGAGGTGATGCTCTCTGATAATCTTACATAAATATATTTTGTTTAGAAATATTCAGCATGCTGAGGGTAAAATTTGTGATAGAGTGAGCAATATATCAACCAAGTGCCTAATTTACCTTGATTTCATCTCATAAAAGATACAATTGGTGATTCTATCATCTACAAATGGTACATAATTTCAAACACAACAAAGGCAAGTAAATAACTGCTGAAAAACGTGTCTTATAAAGAGCAAACCAACACATCAAACTCATACTTACTACACAAGCTCCCCTATTACAAAAAGCTGGAATCCATAATGTTTTCTAAAGGAATGCAAATTCCAGTACGTGTTAAAGCCCGCTGTGATGCTGCTCAGAGGTGTCCTGCCAAGAGCCAAGTATTGCATAGATGTACAAAGCAGGGCTCTGACAAAGGCACCTATGGAGCACTATGAGATTTCCTGAACAGTTCCACACATTTGAACCCAGAAGCATTTCAAACTTACCAGCTACAGATAACACTAAATCTTGACCGTTTGTATTTAGCCTTGAGATAGAAACCTTGTCCTTTTGCCCTGCTGGATGCAGGAAGCATTTGTTGCCAGCACTTTCTAGTTGCTAAGGAGGTCAGCAACATGGCTACCACTAGGAACTGACGTGCTGACCTGACCCCGCTGCAGAGACGACCCTTTGCCTGCCATGTACCAGCCCAATTGCTGCTAAATGCAGCTCTGGTGATCCAGCTATTGCACTGGGAGACCATGGGGGCAAAGAAAGGATTACAAAAGGGCAGAGCATCCTCCAGCCCTTCGCATAGTAACATAAGGTAAAAGAAATGTATCATCATTCAAAGCTGCAGTTCAGATTTACGATCATAAAGCACCACCACAAATATATTGGTTCAAACAAGGAGAGCCAAAGCTGGGAGGAACTGAGATCAAATCCCTTTGCAAACTTCTCTTTTCCATAATAAAGGGGAAGAATTTGTGAAATCTCTTCCTTTCCTCCAAAGCATGTACAAAACCAAAATCATAGAATGGCCTGGGCTGAAAAGGACCACAACGACCATCGAGTTTCAACCCCCCTGCTATGTGCAGGGTCACAAACCAGCAGACCAGGCTGCCCAGAGCCACATCCAGCCTGGCCTTGAATGCCTCCAGGGATGGGGTATCCACAGCCTCCTCAGGCAACCTGCTCCAAAATGTCAGAGAATCACATAAAAATCTTCCTGCTAATCTCTACTGCGCTCCCTATTCTTCATTTCCTCCTTCACAAATGTACACACCTTGATATGTGATATGTCTGTGCAGTGCAGGCAGGGAAATACTTAATTGCATTTAGTAGGCATTTTTCAATTCACTACTATTAAAACATGAGAACAGAGGGATGGATGACTGTAATTAAGGACTGCCAGCTCTTACAAAGTCTGGAATTGTTTTCTCTACATTTTGCTGTAACCAGAGATGAACTGCTCTCATGTTGCCAGCCGAATTGCTGTTAAATGCCAACCCTGACATGCAGCAAACATTAAGAACATTTTGCTAATCACAAGATAAAACTCTCTTCACCATCTTGACATAAATCTGTTCTACACTGATTAGCTGAAATCATTGAGGAAATGATTTCTCTGAAATCATCAGAGAAACAGACTAAGGGGAAGAGGATCCCAGAAGAATTTCTTTCACAGGACACAATTGTTCCCAGGCCAGAATCTTGCCAACCCTCTTTGTATTGTGCAACCAGTCCTAATTTTTAAGTGCACAGAGAGATGGAAACAAATTTCCATAGAATTTGGATAGAAATTAGGCAGAATCAACAGTTTTAAAAAATCAACATTTTTACTCATAGGAATAAAACTGCATTTGCAAGATGTCATGCTCTTCCTACGCCCAGTGACAGTGTTTCAGAGAACTGCTCCCCTTTTCCTTCCACTTTTAAACTAACTTATCCATTTTTGTTGTCTTTGAACAACATTCCTGGGAACCTTTATAAAGACCTCCTCGCTTTCTAAGAGAAAAACTGGCAATAAGAACAAAAAAACTTCCGTGAAAGGGCATATGAGAGCAAACCAGTCACAGTACAGAACAATAAAGGAATTTTAGCCTCACCACTGGAAAGACTTTATTTTATTTCAAAGCACAAAGAATGTGATGGCACATAGAATTAATTCACACTTATAGGTATTGTATTTTTTGTTCAGTTACTATTTTAGATGTGCTTTCCAATTTCCATGAATTATCTGAGGCCACTCAGATGTGATTTTCCAGTCACGCTTCTGTAAGCGCAGTTACTACCTGCAAAACTAAAATGCTTTTCTGTGGGCTGGTATCGATGCGTACTATGATCTCCTAGATGTTTCAGGAAGGTGCACATCATAAACAACATAGCAGTGGCTACCAGGCTCCCATCCAGGATATCTTTCCCTTGATTTGGAACAGTTTAGATAGTCTTCAAAAATTGGCTTTGTTTGTTAATTGCTTTAGGTGCTTGGCTTGGCTCCATAACATTTTTGTCTGCTGCCATGGAATCACTGTACAGAACAGACTGTAGGTACCTGATGTATTTTATTGCTGCACGGAGAGTCTCTACTTTGCTGAGCCGTTTCTCTAAGTATTCCTTAGGTAAGTGATGTCTCAATTTAGCATAGCCTTCATTGACACATTTAACTCTCTGCCTTTCCCTCTCATTCCTCTTCCTGATGAAAGCCGGCCCATAGGAGTACTCACTCCTGTTGTAATTGCAGTGGGGTATTTGGTAGGAAAAGCCACAGGGCTCAGCGTAGAAGTTCTCTGTGATGAAATGCTCAGACATGAAAGGAAGGAATGACAGATCTTCAGAGCAAGCGACCTGGTTTGGTGTTTCTGGGTACATGTGAAACATGACCAGTGGGTCTGCACAGAAAGGCCGGGGCAGCTGTATGCACTGAGTGTCAGCAGTGATGGACAACTTGTCCATGAGATTACAGTAGCTTTTCCCATCCATCAGGTTCTGCATTTAACCTGGAAATGCATAATTACAAAACACTTTAAACAACTCAATACTGGACAGGACAAAATACTCACCTGCGCTTACTAACTGGCATTTGCCAGGTGAGACTTCTAATGTATTTGCAACATTTCAGAACAACAGATGGCAGAAAACACCCTCTTTGGAAAAAAAAAAAAAACAAAAACAAGAGGATGTAAATTGGCTACAGTGATTTTAAAAAATGCACAACAGATCTGAAGAAAACTATTAACACTTTCTAAAGGAAAGAGCAAACATTCTCCTTTCATTTCCGCTTTAGAAATGAGAAAGATCTACCTTTATGAGCCCCACAGAAATCTAGCTTGCTCCAAACTTTCATCTTTACAGAAAACATAAAGCAGGCCAACACTGAAAGCGCTCTCTCCAGCCCACTGACAATTCCAGTGACAGACTCTACTTGTACCAAAAAATCTTCAAGGACAAATTACTTCTCTATTCATTTGATATCTCATTCACTGTACTGTTTTGACTCAATGCAAAACTTGTGCAGGGATCCCAGAAGGGATGTCAAATTTATGTCTGCAAAGTATTCAATTTATTCTTCATCTAAGTTTTAGGAAAGGCCTATAGGATGAATTAGGGCTAAACCTGACATCATCTTCGGTCCTGTTGTTTAATACACAGATGAGTGGAGAAACACAGAGATGAAATACTAAATTTCAATTTTAAATTATTTTACATAATAGCTACTTAAAAATGTATCTAAAGCATATTGTTATTTTTTAAAGAATTAAGATCCATCCTTACCAATTGCAAGCAGTACTTCCCAACAAAATCTATTCAAAAATGCTCCTTTAACGTCTTCCTCATCTATACTTGGCTTTCTAAAATACTTAGATTATACCCTCTACAAAAGAAAAAGCACACAACACAAAATAGGTTACCAGAACTGCTGGTACTCACAACAACCTTGAAAAGTTTCAAATATACAGAGCACAGTTCCATAGCAAACTGGATTATCTTAATCCCTCACAAGGATAGAGATATTTTAATGTTTTCTAATCATTTCACACCTGCCTCTTTCAACAGTAAGAGAATTTTCACTCAATAACCCAATCTAACAACATATTCCATCAATATACATCTGTATTCAGTGCTGTTTGTTATTTTCTTATCAAAATGGATCTCAGTACAGAAATCTTGGGAGTTCAGAGTTCCTTTATAGCATGCTGTTAGATAAGAGAGACAGTCACATGCATCTTAAATGGATCTTTGTATAGGCACACTGATGGCATGCAGACACATTCATTTTGAATTAATAGAGATACTGAAAGATTAGAAATGAATATATACGTTCATAAAACAAAAGCAGTAGATAATCATCTTTCTCTTTTTTAACACAAGTTGTGTTATTCTAAAAATATTTTCAAGATGTCACAGTAGAAAATTGTCAGAACGAAATAAAGTCACTGAATAGCAAAAAGTGAATAGTAAAGTATCTACATACAGCAAGAAACCAAAAAACACAGCCCCCTGTGATACTTGCAGTGTTTGTTTGCACTGACACTTCTGCTGCATGACAGCATTCCATACAACATTTGTCTGCTGCCTTACTGTCTGCACTGAGCACATGTTAGAATCCTCTTCCCATCAGAGCAGAGACTCACCAATCTTCAGAGCAAAGTGAAATCCAAGGAAACAAGACGCGCTAATTTTAAGACTGCTGAGTAATACCTGAAAATATCTAAACGATATTGAAGAAAAAGTTAATGTTCCAGTTTCCTGGCATCTTATGTAATGTAGTAATTGATCGTATTAAACACAACGAATTAAAAAGCTACAGAAGCATTGTTACTGACTGGCTGATAGAAGTGGTTTAGAGAAACATGGATATTCAGTGCAGACCTGTAGTTAGATACAGCAATACACAGTTCTCTTACCTGAATGCACTTTGTTCCACTGAGTCCATGACTCCTGCAATTTATAGCCAATTGACAACATGCAAAGTAGCTTACAGCTAGATCTGCTCATTTCTGGTTTGCCTTATCCACCCACACCACAGCTATGATGGCAACAAGACTTGGCATTAAGGACTAGAAATTTTAAAACCGTATTGAACACAACTGGATCACCTGAAAAAGTAAATCAGGAACATACTTTGCTTATGCCCTGTTACAGTTTACTAAAGCAGTATTTTCCTTTACTGGAGCTTCATACACCAACACCTATTTAATTATCAGCTAGAACTTAGTTAAATACTGTTAAAATGAACACACATTTGAATAAGAGCATGGATGAAATTAATATTATATTTTATGGTCATCTCACAAGATCTGCTTTGTTTCAAGTTCTTTTAAGTTCTATTCCACTTTGCTGTCTCAAAGCCTTGACGCTAAACTCAAATATCAGCCCTAATTCCCTTCCCCCCAACCTCCTCCCATCTGGAGCAAAGTTCTGCATCTTCCTTCTACTCCAGCTTCAGACCTGATCAGAAATGCAGCCAAGATGTAGAGCACCTATTAGAACTGATAGGTAGGCACAAACGCAACAAACAAGTTATTTTTCCTTAGGGCATCCTATGTACATCGCTGTCATAACTGATCATTGACTCATCAGGGTTAGATGCCAAACACAACTGTGTTTTTGTTTGTTTGCTTTTATCCTGTCAATACACCCTGTGCTGTTTTGTACTTAGAGGGAGAACCCTACATCTCCACTAATTAGGTGCCTGTTATAATTACACCCAGATTAATTGTGGTTTCGGAAGCCTACAGGACTGACAAGACAACGAAGACCTGCATCTGCCAAAAACATGCAGTCACTGCAAATGTTATGGGACAACTTATGTTTCCACTCAAGGTACTGAAGAGATAAGTATACACGTACAGTTATTTTCCACACTATTTTGCTCCCACTCTAGCAATTATGAAAGCCAAAACTGTACCTGCCAATATATAATACTGTTCCATGGTATCATTTCCTTCAACACTGGAAATGAAAATCATTCCAACATGATAATATAACTAAACATGCCTAGCCAAATTTCAGGGATTGAAATTCCTGATCAGACCTTCCTTCAATCAGCAATTTGGTGTGCCATTCTTTCCCTTATCTAAGCACTAAACAACTGCGTATTTCCATTCAGAAGCATTTTCAGTTAACTGTTTTTATAAATGCAATTTGCATGCAAGTGTAATGAGGGAGAAAATGATGACATCTAGATAATGTGCATCTGTTTTTCAAAAATCAGTTTTAATTGTTACATTCCAAAGAGGATATATGAAAGTTAGTCATCTAGCAACTGTATACCTCTTAAGAGAGATGAACACAGAATCACAGATAGAAAAATACACCTAACTCCCAGGATGACAGGTGCTCAAGAAATTATGTACCTTATACCATCAATCCAAACAAATGCAGAAAGATTTCTTATAATAAATATTTCATCATATACTAGCTCCTGAGACTTTACCCATGAGAAGAAAGGAAGATTTCTTTTAAAAGATATCATACACATACAATATATTAAGCTTTTAAAGCAAAACAGAACGAAATGTCAACACTGCCTTGAAGTGCATTTGAGTTTATCTACATCACAGTAGTTCAAGTGTGCAGCTCAAAGAGTCAGTGTCCATTTAAGTTCAGCCTCATTTCTGTGACCACTTGACATACAAGCACTTTGAAAGTACAAGTGCAAGCAACCAAATGATGAATACAGCCAATCAAAATTCTGCTCTCTGACATGACAACTGCACTGCAAGTTTTCAATTTCCAATGTGACATCAGCCTGAAGAAAAATCCAAATATATTTACAAAAGGTCTTTACATAAAGAGAGTGGTGAGTTGTAAGCAGTTACTGTGTTCCCAGGTACTTTTAACCACATAAATAATAAAGAGAAATATATAGTTAAAAATCACCGTAAAGTCACAACTGTAAATAAAGTATCACAGTAGCAAACAAAGCAAGCTATCTCAGGGTTTGTTTTCTTTTCAGTTTTATTAGTAAGAGACAACTGAAAATGTAAAGATTTCTAGCTTTTGGTTAGCTAATTTCTTTTATCTGCTTCCTGCTCAGTACATTCTTTCAATTTTTAAATACTTCATATATATATGTTTGGTGGTTTGTTTTTTTTTTTCAAATCAGAAAAGAACAATTGCAGAAAACCCTTTTGAAGCAGTAGGTTCAGGGAGACAGAAGTCAGTTTTTTCAGTTTGCCTGCTTTACTTCTTGGAGTTGCTGCTGAGAGAATTAACTCAGCACAACGTGACGGTCGAAAACAGACTTGCGTTGCTCTTGGACCTGCAACTTCCAGCGCTGCTGGGCATACTCCACTTTGTTCAGCACGTTGGCACGGCTCCGAGATCGAGCTAGCACGTCATGAGCATTTGCAAACGGCTGGTGATCCTGGAACAGCAAAGATCCTTAGTTAGATCTCAATAATTCCATCAAGCAATTGAATTAACTGTTTGATTTTGTTGGTGATTTTAAGGTGAAACGAGCTATTTTAGCTGATTAGTCAGTCATAATGACAAAGCAAGTTTTCAGAGAGTTAAAACGATACTTTTCATCCCAAGTAACTGCCAAACATTTTCCAAATAGACCCAATTGTATCACTGCAATTTCATAGAACAGCTTAGGTTGGAAGGGACCTTAGAGATCAGTGAGCTCCAACTCTCTAACACAGCCAGGGTCGCCAATCACTGGATCAGGTTGCCCAGGGCCCCGTCCAACCCAGCCTTGAAAGTCTCCAGAGACGGGACATCCAAGCCTCCATGGACAACTTGTTCCAGTGCCTCACTACCCAAACGAGACTTGCATCCATTAGTAGCTGCTGGAATCAAGTCTAAGACAGACTACGATGCCAGGACCCTCCTGTTATTGTCATGAATGTACTTTGTTTAATGTCACTTAAAGAGTGAATTAGTCAGTTTTTTGCCAGCTCTCAGCCTGATACTGTATGACAGTTCAGGATGTTCATATAAAGATTGTATGTAAAACCAACACACTCCACTGTTTACCAAACCAAACCTATTGTACCAAGCTGTCTGAAAGCAAAGTGTAAATACAGCTGTTTAAGTGACAGAGCTCAACAATAACTGAGAGCTTATTTAATATTTACTCTGCCTGTTTTCCATCAATACCCGCAAAGCTTTGTTTTCTTCTAATAAATAAAAGCAGGTTATAAACAGTAAGGGTTGGAATTGAACTTCTTCTTTGGCTGTCAAATTGTTTTGGACAAAGTCACGTTCCTAAAGTTACATCAGAAAGCATCATGTGTAAACTTCATAATAAAAAAATAACATAATTACATCCCGTATTAAATAGTTATTTGCCCTTTTATATGTATACACCTCACAGTACTTGTGTTGTTGCTGTTGTTCCTGAATGCTTTTAAAAGACATTGATATGTATCTGTGACATAATTCTGTACAGAATAGCTCAGTGATGATTCTTAACAGTAGAATGATTAACATTAAAGATATCAGGGGATGTCTACAATGGCACATATGGGCATCACTGAGCTAAGAAATATGCTAAAAACAAGACAGTCCCAGTCTAAAGGGCTATGAACTTATATAAAAGATTATGCAGTTGGACTTATCTAGAACAGTAAGTTCAAAGATCACAAATCACTTCATTAGTACAGAAGCAAAATCACAATAGAAGTACGTTTCCTCCATAAAATAAATGGAGAAAGGGACAGCATATGATAAGTTGGATGGTACTAGCAAGCTAGCTACCCTCAATTTCAGTGGGAAAGGCGGAGGAAAGGCGGAGGAAAGGCGGAGGAAAGGCGGAGGA